ATATTCTTTCGGTTAACCTCGCCAGCGCTGTACGGTAAAGTTCGCCACCGGACATGGCTCAAATGAAAGGTAATAACTTGGGGAAGGCCACACTGAAATGAATTTTTGGGAGTTAGGCCCATTCGGAAATTGTTGGGGTTCAAAGTTGCTGTTAAGGAAAAAAATATGTATACACCCTATATTCTTTCGGTTAACCTCGCCAGCGCTGTACGGTAAAGTTCGCCACCGGACATGGCTCAAATGAAAGGTAATAACTTGGGGAAGGCCACACTGAAATGAATTTTTGGGAGTTAGGCCCATTCGGAAATTGTTGGGGTTCAAAGTTGCTGTTAAGGAAAAAAATATGTATACACCCTATATTCTTTCGGTTAACCTCGCCAGCGCTGTACGGTAAAGTTCGCCACCGGACATGGCTCAAATGAAAGGTAATAACTTGGGGAAGGCCACACTGAAATGAATTTTTGGGAGTTAGGCCCATTCGGAAATTGTTGGGGTTCAAAGTTGCTGTTAAGGAAAAAAAAATGTATACACTCTATATTCTTTCGGTAAGCCTCGCCAGCGCTGTACGGTAAAGTTCGCCACCGGACATGGCTCAAATGAAAGGTAATAACTTGGGGAAGGCCACACTGAAATGAATTTTTGGGAGTTAGGCCCATTCGGAAATTGTTGGGGTTCAAAGTTGCTGTTAAGGAAAAAAATGTATACACCCTATATTCTTTCGGTTAACCTCGCCAGCGCTGTACGGTAAAGTTCGCCACCGGACATGGCTCAAATGAAAGGTAATAACTTGGGGAAGGCCACACTGAAATGAATTTTTGGGAGTTAGGCCCATTCGGAAATTGTTGGGGTTCAAAGTTGCTGTTAAGGAAAAAAATATGTATACACCCTATATTCTTTCGGTTAACCTCGCCAGCGCTGTACGGTAAAGTTCGCCACCGGACATGGCTCAAATGAAAGGTAATAACTTGGGGAAGGCCACACTGAAATGAATTTTTGGGAGTTAGGCCCATTCGGAAATTGTTGGGGTTCAAAGTTGCTGTTAAGGAAAAAAATATGTATACACCCTATATTCTTTCGGTTAACCTCGCCAGCGCTGTACGGTAAAGTTCGCCACCGGACATGGCTCAAATGAAAGGTAATAACTTGGGGAAGGCCACACTGAAATGAATTTTTGGGAGTTAGGCCCATTCGGAAATTGTTGGGGTTCAAAGTTGCTGTTAAGGAAAAAAATATGTATACACCCTATATTCTTTCGGTTAACCTCGCCAGCGCTGTACGGTAAAGTTCGCCACCGGACATGGCTCAAATGAAAGGTAATAACTTGGGGAAGGCCACACTGAAATGAATTTTTGGGAGTTAGGCCCATTCGGAAATTGTTGGGGTTCAAATTTTGTAGGTTTTTACTATACATTTTTTGGGACAGGTGGGGGCTTTCCATAAATATTTCTATTGATATTTTTTAAATGTTTCTAGCGTTTAGGTTATATTTCTATTGTTTTAAGAAATATTGTATATAAAATACATCTTTAATGTTGTTTAATTGATAAAAACTATATTTTACATAAAGACAATTATGCAACTTACATAAGGGATTATATTCGAGGACAACGAGAATTTACGACAGCTTGAAGGGGTCATAAAACGATTTCCTACGTACTTTTTCACTCCTTTTAACTCTCAATATTTATGATTTTCAAATAAGTTTGAATATTGAACCGACTGCTCACAGCTAGTTGGATATAGAATATCGAACCGGCGACTAACTGCACATATATTAGTTATGTAGAAACTAGATATTTCTATACACATTGACACCAATATGCCGGATTTAGAAATCAAGCTAGTGAGTGCTTTCAGTTACTGACGTCATTTGTGTTGGTTTGTTCAACGTTCACTTCTAAGGCTGAACATCTGTGGTCATTTAGACGTTAAAAAATAATACATTTATCGTATTGGTATCGAAAAAGAAGTGGCTGCTATCATTATTGGTATTTAAAACGAAAAAATCCTTTAAGAATCACTACAAGCCGCGAAATTGTCGAATTCCGCTCTTAAATTACGTTTAACTTAGATTTTGAGATTTTTGGAACGTTCGAGTCTGTTATAGTTTTTGGGTTTTTAGACATATCATCAAAATTGGCTGCTGGAAAAAAGTGGCTGCTATCTTGATTGGCTGCTAAAAGTGGCTGCCAGCTTGAGTCTAGTGGCAAAAGTCCGAAGTTACGATCATCATCGTGTTTTTTTTGTATAGCGATTTTCCTTCTTCTGGTTGTTTTTCCATCCTTTTAGAAAAATACATTCAATGGCAATGCTTATAAAGATTTATTGACATACAACATATCTAAATACAAGCTGTTAAAGTGGAGAAATCGGCCATATAAAATTTCCCTAAATTTGTGACCGCCATATTGGGATGATCGTAATTGCAGTTACGATCATCACGTTGACACCAGTGACGAATGAAAACGCCAAAGCTGAAGGTTTTTCCATTGCGTTTACCTTCTAAACTCGGATAATATTGCATTAAAATAAAGTTTTGAGGTAGGTGTTGTTTTTTTTCTATTCTATTGCATTATTCCCACATTTACTGATTTCAGCAAGTCAACATGGCGGCTCCATGGTTACAAAATGTCAACAGTGAATTTGACGGTAGCTTACGAGAAAAAAATGTAAATAAAAAATGGCAAATGTTGGGTTTGAGCATTAAAAGAATCAATCACATTTTTTCTAGCGGTTATTTAAGAAATGATTCACGAAAGCTACAGATTTATTAGATTTTGTTTACATTTATCTAACAGTGGGTAAAATAGAACAGCCACACACATGGCATACCCACCCTCGCTTCAGTTTTTTAATGACCGTATTTGTCCTATTCGAATCGAAATAATTCATGGAAGCCATAGATTTGTTGTAAATTTACACATGTCCTGGGCCGTGATATTCGTTAGTTTTATCCCTCGCTAACGCTCAGGATAAAATTCGAATATCACGGCCCAGGCCATGTGTAAATTTCCAACAAATCTATGGCTTCAATGAATTATTTCTTAATTAATCACTAACGCAAACCATGATATACGTGTAACACGGAAAAAGGATATCAATGATAGGCCATAGTACGGTTTTTAGTACAATGTGAATCAACAAGATTGTATAATTTTTTTCAATGATCCGACACAAAAAATGTGATACAATTTGGCTTGTTTTAAAAGTTTTATGAAATAGCATTATTAAATTTATTAAGTAATTACTTATATGTTTTCTGTCTATGAAGAAATAACAACAGAAATGTGGTGCACACTGAATAACCCGCGTTTTACATTTGTTATGTCGGAGCCTTTTATTTCGAAAAGACAGAAAAAATATTACATGCAGTCATTCCTTATAATTTAATTCTAAATTCCATTTTAAGGAGTAAATCATGAAAAAAACGTTGATGACGTCACGGTCACATGACAAAATTATGTCTATGAGCTGATAGACAACAAACTTTCAGATCTGTACTTTGTGTCTTTTTTGTTGTTACAGTAAGAGATTTATAAATACCCTGCCACGTCCGGTCTGTGTTTTTGTTAGATGCTTTTCTGCTTTGTATCGATCTGATGAGTTCAGCCCTTTTCAACTGATTTTTATAGTTTGTTCTTAATATGTAACACCACTGCCCAGGTCATGGGAGGGTTGAGCGCTCACAAACATGTTTAACCCCACCATATTGTTTATGTGTCTGTCCCAAGTCAGGAGCCTATAATTCAGTGGTTGTCGTTTGTTTCTGTATTTCATATTTGTTTTTCGTGTGTTGTTTTGTTCATGAATAATGCCATTAGTTTTCTCGTTTGAAATGTTTTACATTTATTATGTCGGAGCCTTTTATAGCTTGCTTAATGCGGTATGAGTTTTGCTCATTGTTGAAAGACGAACCGTGACCGATAATTGCTTACTCCTATGTCATTTAGATTCCGGTGGAGAGTTGTCTTCATTGGCAATTATACCACATCTTTCTGTTTTCATACTCGGTGGCCGAGTGGTCTAAGTAGTCGAACTACTGTATCACTTGCCAGTCAACACTGAGATTGTGAGTTCGAATCCCGCACGGGGCAGATGCACTCGACTCCAATCTAAATTGACTAGGATTGTCAGTTTTCCTACCGAAGGTCAGTGGTTCTCTCCGGGCACTCCGGCTTCTTTCACCAATAAAAACTTACCGCCACGAAATAGCACAATAGTGTTGAAAGTGCCGTTAAACACCAATCAATCAATCAATCAATAAAGCAATCCTGTTTTCATATACACATAATAATAAAATTATAATGTTTATATATGTTTTTATCATATTTTAAGTTAAATTGCATGATGTCTTGTAATGTGATATAATACACATGTACTATAAATTACGCAGTTAACTCTATGTACCTCATGTATTTCATATTTTAGATAAAACGTTCTTACCAATTTTGTACCTTTTTCAGATTTTAAAATCATTTAAAACTTGAGGAAAATAGTAATTCCTCTCCATAGATCTTGAAAATGCGAAATACTTTTAATGTAACATGTGGACACTTTTAAACGAAGCGAAATGGTCTACGAGTTTTAAAAAACAGTTTCCATCTGAAATTGATATGTTTTAATTTAGATTTGTACAGTGTAAATACAAGTTCTTATTTTCAAATTTTACTCTTAACGTATTTAAATAAACTTTTATAGTCAACTATACGGTATGTTTTTTTTTTCACTGTTATAGGCCGTATGGTTGCCTATTATTGCTTACATCCACTTCATTTGGACTTTGGTGGATAGTTGTCTCATTGGCAATCATATCACATCTCCTTATTTTTATATTAGCATAGTAAATTAAAAATAAACCAACGCATTTAGCTTTTTAATGTGGTGGCCCCTGAAAATATGATGGATAACTTGTTCACAACGTTAATCATTGCCGGATTAACAAACCGTTATGTACTTTTTTTTATAAAACCGCTCTAATTAAAAGTCAGTAGTTAACTCACCTTAGTTACTCAAGTCACGTAGTTTTGCTCCCATTACATAAACATTGGTGCAATCATTCTTCTGATAACTGTTAAGAAATGACGTCAACGGTATTGTTATCTACAACCAACCATGGCGACAATTAAGGCACAATATTATCACATCTCCTTTTTTTGTCAAACAAGCAGCTCTTCTTATGAAAACTGAATTCTAAAAAGAGAAAAATATATGAAGTTGAATGACATTGCCATATATGGGTAAAACGTATGATATCTATTCCAGATCATTTCAGTACGCTAAATAAATGCTTCTGGAATTACCTTCAGATCCTATAAAAAAAGACGGATATACTAATACTGAGGTATTGGAGACAAAATGACGTAAAACAGACATGCAACATTTCAAATCTAAGAACAAACATTATTTAACAGGTGCGATCAATGATTTGAGGTTAAAAGATTTGGGCGAACCTGATACTGTCAAAGAGCGTAGGGAGGCAAAATATTTTACCGATTTGTATGCCAAAAAAAAAAAAATAATAAATAAAGACGATTTTCCCGATTCAAGCGGGCTGGGGCCCAACTAACATCCCCTCCATTCCCCATCATTAACTCAATTTTCTGGTGATTTAACCTTGGATTTAATACCATACATAGTTCTAACACTAAAAAATTAAAGTTAAAACGTATCATTGTCATATAAAGTAAAATATGGCTATATAATTATGATAAATAAATGAGATGCGGGGTATATGCCAACGAGACAGCAACTCAACGACAAAATTAACCAAAAAAAACATATCTATAGGGCAACAACAGAAAGTGACATATAAAACATCTCGATTCTATATACCTGTAAACAAATTAAACAGACACAATCAAAGATCTACCATCAAACCAAACAACAAAAAACAAAAACTATTAAGGATGTACTTAAAATAAAATTGATACTATAAGCCCGAAGAGCATAAGTTAAGGAACAAAATAAGCTAAAAATATTGATAGGTTATGGAACTCCTTTTCGAGATATTTAATTTTTTAAAAATGGCGGGAAAAGGCTGACTCGGACTTTTACCTTATATTTCCATTGGTATTATTTGGGTCTCAAATCGAAAGAAAAGAAATCTAAAAACTGATTAAATTTTGGTAAATGATCTTTTATGATCATGAGCTATTGAAGTCTTATATAAAAAGAAAAAAATGGGTGTTATGGAGCAAAATATTTTTTTCTGTTTCGTAGGGAAAAAAACACAAGGAGTCCAAACATTTGACAAAAATTCCTGTTTTTACTCCTTGAAAATGAGAAACTCTTTTTAATAAATTTTCTCGCAACAAACATCGATTCGACTTTCTCTGAGTTTTACTTTAGTGTATCACCTGATCTGACTGTTGACTTATGAGACAAATTAAGAAAAAATTAAAAGTCAACAGTGAGAGCAGGTGTGTTTATAGGTAAAAGTTATTAAAAGGTTTATCATTTTCAAAGAAACCGTTTAGGTTCAGTCTGTGGTTAACGTTTTTAAGTCATCAATAACTTTGTCAAACCTTCCTTGAAATTCGATAAATTTTGACAGAACCCTTTTCTACGACTGAAAGCATCATAAAAAAAGCTACATTTTCCTTAAAATTTATCGTTAGGGAAAAGTATGTTTATAGCATATCATGGAATATTGCCAAATTCCACAAATCGTAATTGATGTTTGATGTCACGATCCCGCTTCCCCACCCACCATCCCCAGCTCATACGCCATTGCATAGGCATATGCTGATGATGTTTTGTTCAGATAGAATGTGAAATATAAATTATAACACTATCATATTAAGGATGTTCGCTACTCTGTTTTAAAATAACAAGCTTTTTAAAAGACTGTTATAGATTGATAGTATATAAATAAAGGAACTAAAAAGGCAGAAAAAAATGAAGGGTCTGTGTGCTTGTTTTCGAGATATAAGCCATTGAAAATTTGGCGGGAAATGATTCTCTCTAGATTTTTCATACATTTAACATTGGCCCCTTTTTTCTGTCGAAAAGTATGAAAAAATAACAAGGATTTAATAAGATTTTCAAAGATGGCATTTCAAACTATATTTAATCAAATAATGAAAAGAAAAGTAGGGGTTAGTGGGCAAAATTTTTTAATGGCACTACATGGATAAAACCAGAGGATTCCGAATATCTGGCAAAAATTCAAAAACAAGAGGAGCAAACATCCTTAAGCCACGTGTTATGAAAAAATGAATACATTTTATGAATAAAGTGTTGATAAAATGAGATTTTGAAAATAACCAGATGTCCCTGTCATACGTATCAAATCATCAAAAGAAGCATTTGAATATTACTGTAAATGAAAAAAAAAGAAAATCGAAGGAGAGACATTTTTGAAATAACAACAACATAAAAAAAACGTAAATTGTAGAATCAAACAGAAACAAGGAGACTTATTTACAACTTCAAGAGCCAAGAGGTCTTACGGCAAGAGAACATTATAAACAAACATGTTTAACCCCGCCGATTTTTGCGCCTGTCCCAAGTCAGGAGCCTCTGGCTTTTGTTAGTCTTGTATGTTTTTTAATTTTAGTTCATTTATATGTTTAGGAGTTTACTAGTATGACGTCCATTTAACTGAACTAGTACACATTTTTATTTAGGGGCCAGCTGAGGACCACCTCCGGGTGCGGGATTTTCTCGCTGCGTTGAAGACCCATTGGTGGCCTTCGGCTGTTATCTGCTCTTTGGTCGGGTTGTTGTCTCTTTGACATATTCCCCATTTCCATTCTCAATTTTATTATTAACAACTTCAATAGCCAATAAGTCTTACGGCAAGAGAACATTGCCTAATTATAAGGGAAAAAAAAGAAACTGAAAATACACACAACAAAATAAAGTAGAAAAAAATGGCAAAGAGAGAATAGAACAGAAAATAAAGATATCAAGACATCGAAGGATAGTATGTCAGTTTTGTTATAAAAGAAGACATTCATTGTGATACTTTTGAAGCACGTTCGTCCTAAAAATTATCAGTTTCCCTCTGCAGTTGTTTCACTTCGTAGGATTAAAATCAGTTTTAAAGTTTCAAACATTCTGGAATTTTCAAATGTATGGCTAAATGATTTACTCAAAGTATTTTAAATCATTTTAGATAAATTCGTGACATCAAATTTGTATTCAGTGCTAGGCCATTGCTGTTGGAGACAATTTTGACACTCAACTACAAATTTTGCATGCGTTTTTTAAATTTTGCGTGGTAGTCAATTTCCTTATAAACTTTTCGAAAAAAATACTAACAATAACCCATCAGAAGTTCAGTTTTTAGTCATTTAAAGCCTTTTTGATTTGTTGAAATGATTATATTATGCACTAATGTTGTAAAAAACGTACAAACACAAATCTAAGATACTGTGAAGTTTAGCAAAGAACCAAAGACATTTTCCAAATGTGCCTGGTGTTTAATAAATGAATTCAAGGGAAACTGATTCAACCTCTTGATGACTTTAAAAATATTCTATGGAAATTCGGATATTTTATTTATTGTTTGCTTTTATTACTTATGCCAACCGATGATCAAAGGAAAAATTGAAATATTTAACGAAGGAACTTCGAAAGTCTCTGCAAAATAAATATTTATAACATGTGAAAGAATGTTAATGCTACGGTCTCTGTTAGGAACATTTACGCATTAAACTACAAAACATGAAAAAAAGTGTACGCTTGAAACGATCCAGGTAAACTTATCAATCCTTTAAACAAACTTATTCTAAAAGGTTACCAATTCAATACTGAAATTACATCTTTGAATATTGTTTTTATTAGTATAAATAATGATTTTGTTATCAGTAATTAAAACCATACTAAATAATATTGTTATACACATATGCCCTTTCACGGTACTACAATCTGTCGATACCTATATTTTGGCATTGTACAAGGTCATCTTTTTCTCTGACTGTTAATGACGTTTTTACACTAAATATATTGGATGTTGGCTATGTACTGATTGATATTTTGTTTTAGATATGCATGATTTTTTATTAGTTGTTATTGGCTTTGAAATAGCTGTCAGTAGCTGTGAGTTCTCTAAGATCTGTACTTTGTGTCTTTTTTGTTGTTGTAAGAGATTTATAAATACCCTGCCACGTCCGATCTGTGTTTTTGTTAGATGCTTTTCTGCTTTGTATCGATCTGATGAGTTCATCCCTTTTCAACTGATTTTTAGTTTGTTCTTAATATGTAACACCACTGTTCTGATCATGGGAGGGTTGAGCGATCACAGACATGTTTAACCCCGCCACATTATGTATGTGCCTGTCCCAAGTCAGGAGCCTGTAGTTCAGTGGTGGTCATTGGTTCATGTCCGTCATATTTGTTTTACGAAAATTGTTTTGTTATAAATCAGGCCGTTAGTTTTCTCAATTAAATGATTTCATATTTTTCATGTCAGGGCCTTTTATAGCCAACTATACGGTATGGGTTTTTCTCATTGTTGAAGGCCGTTCGGTTGCCTACAATTGCTTACATCCACTCCATTTGGACTTTGGTGGATAGTTGTCTCATTGGCAATCATACCACATCTCCTTAGTTTTATATTTTGAACAACGTCAAAATCCTTATTTCTAGCGGGAAAGTTGTGTAGCGCTCATTGATACCAACGTCTACTCAATCTTAACTTTACTTACATTTTAACATTTAAATCTTTTCCAAATAATTCCTAGGAAAAGTCCAGAGAACATAATGTTCAAGCCAAAACTTGATTTTTTTCAAACACTTTCATTTTAAAAATAGCTTTAAGGGACAAAAACCATTTATTTTTCCTCAATTAAATGAATAAGACATGTACAGGTTTATTAACTATTTGTCCTGTCATTTTAAATATCTGTTGCCATTTTCATTTTTTGTGACGAACAATTCAGTTTAAACTGTAGTAAATTTTTCTTACCTTAAATCTTAATTATTCCCGAATGAATAATAGTTTTGAAGCTTATTCTCGAATATATATGCTTGAATATAAAAAAAATACCTCTATATATAGACATTTAATTTTGTTCATTAATGATATTTCACGGCAAAACAAAAATATTTCTCCTCAATCATTTATATCTATAACTATGCTGTCCGATTTTCTTAGGTCAATCTTATTTACAAACCAGTTTGTTCCAGTGTAGTACATCAGTACTATGGTAAAAAAAACTTCCGCTTATAGATATAAATTACGA